GTGTGAAGTCAGTGAATACTGGTATAAGTGTATTACCTACATTTAGAGGAAAAAAACTCTACTGTCGCTGCTTGTAGCTGCCCTATTATGCTTTTCCTCTAGGTTATATAGGTGTTTGTGCAGGTAAATGGTCTGCAAAGGCTAACATTCCAAAGTTCCTTGCAGAGGGAGTTTCTCTCGCTCAAACTCCCCCCCCCTGCCTAAAATGCCTCCATTGGACTCTTTGTTTATTTCAATAACATAGTCACCACTATGTAACACTTGTGCTTCTATTGGCTAGCGCTTCAACACATTGTGCATGATAGGCTAAGGGGCGGGACATCCCAACAGAGCTAACAAATCAGAGCAGACTGGGCTCTGGTTTCAGACAGAGGGTGAAAAGAGGTGTTACAGCACAGTATAAGAGAAATAAAGACCATTTTGAACCTGAAAATGATGTCCTCTTTAAGACAAGGCCATCTTTAGCTTCCATAAAATGACATCTTTCCAAGTCAAAAATACTATGTGGTAAAGATATGATTCTATTTGGTGAGTAAGTTCACCAAAATCACAAAAAAGCTAAACATTTTCAATTACATTTTATATTTTGCACCAAAAGCAAAAGGCCTTCCACAATACGGTCTAATTGTCACATTGTTTCAAGATGTCCACATACAATTTAAAATTATTGCAGCGCCACAAACTAAGTTCTGCAGAAATCTCAAATAGGTAATCCTTTAACTTTGCTTTAAACCTTTGAGAGAATCACATTGTGCTATTTCTCAGAGAGACTGAATGAACGTGTTATGCTATTATTTAACCATACTCTCACTCATTCTGCACATTTTTCCATGTTTAAAACCGTTTTTACATTTCTCAGCCGTGCATGCATTTTTGCCTTTTCACATTGAGGTACGTGTGTTGATGTTGAAATAAATTCTGGCTTTTAGCCTCTTCAAAGGCATTCATTCCAAAAGCGTGACACCCTGAAATGTCTGAGACAGTGATAAGCCACATGAGAGAATAACACATTCTGAGCATTAGCATACATGCCAACTATCTGCTTTTCAGGTAAATGTGCAAAACCAAATCATCTCTTTGACATTTTGGATGAGGTTTAGTGTGGCGCTTTCAGTGAAGCGGTTATTTGAAAACCCTTAACATGATTTATTAACGCATGGTTTCTCCAGCCATGGGGTTTGCATCCAAGATGACTTGTTGCCTGGTAGCCTCGGGGCCCGAGGGGTTGACCACAGGGCGTACATCTTCCACAGTGCATATAGTGCAACATAATCTGTAACCATCATGACAAATCTGTCTCCCCCAGCTGCCATCACAACAGCCTTTTGCATGGAGAGGCTGAAAAGTTATTTCCTCTTCCGATATGGCTGAGATGCTTTCTCCAGCAGGGATGCTCCAAATGATCAAATGATAAAGCCTATGATTAGTAAAGACAACTAAATGCTTGGAGCACAGAAGTTCAAACAGCGCAGTAACTTCCCTCTCTCTCCCCCTGAAGTCCCTCATACGCAGATGAAGGCTTGCTTGCTGATGTCTTTGGCTTGCGTAGGAGTTTGAAGCTCTGTTTCCCTCAGCAGCTGATGGTTTGCAGAGATAGGAGCAAAGATAGACATTTGCAGGCTACATAAAGAAAGCATAACATCCTAGTTTGAGATGTACAGTACATAAACCATAAATTGTTTTTAAAGTGTCATATGTTCCCTACTATTATCTGTTACATTTCTTTTTTTCATGGATGTATCACTTTTGAAAATTAGCTTCTTGAATAAGTAGGGATTTTCTTGACAAGCTTTATCAGCAGCTTTACTTCATCCTCCGCTCACTTTTTCCTACGTGCTAATGTGGATTATGCGATTTCTCTTATCATGTTCAAACATGGCTGCTGAGTAATAACAATTGCTCTGCTACTGTGTCCCAACATTAGCCTCCTTATTAGAGACTTTGAGAAGTGCCTTGTATACTATACAGTACACTTATCTCTGCATTCAGGGATCATCACAGGGGGCTTAAGCTTCAAGGAGTAACACTGCTGTGCAGAGATGATATTTTATACACACACATTCAGATATTTTTGCAGTTTCTTGCATGCAATCAGCTTTACCTGATACACGGGAATTATTGGACTTGACTATGATTCAGTTTATAAAGATACAACACCAGTTGGCCTTGTGTAGCATACAGTGTGTTCAGTGTATTATGTTATAAAATAAAAAGGAGGGTCAGCATAACCTGCATTAGCAGTAAAATATACCAACATAATAAAACTAGATTGTAAAATTGCATTGTAAATTCAACACTAAATATGGATATAACACAGAATGGAAAAAGCTATAATAAAAGTCTGTAAGGAGTATTACATTGTGCAGTACCTCCTCATTTGTTTAGAATTATATGGAGAGTTTACTACGGCCTGAGCGCCGGCTGAGTCGAAGCACATTTTCATGTTTTTTTAATGTTATCAATATTATTTTGAACTGAAAACAATTGCATTTTTGAGGGTCTAAACGTATTCCGAAAGTGGATTTTGAGTGTTTGGTAGGATCATCAGGACTGGTTAGAATGTGACATTTCGGTCGTCACGTTCTCAGGGTGTCGATTAAAAGCTCTATAGCGCCCCCCCCCCCTTCAACAATAGGTGTATGCATTATGGTGAGAACTACAAAAAATCCTATTGGAGGAAGTTGGCCATTTTGAATTGTATGTGCCATTTTTTGCACTTTTCAAATGCCATATCGTAACTCTGACAGTTTTCATTCGATCAACTTCAAATTTCGTAAGTACTTTTCATAATTGACCAATCGTCATAGTTCCATAGGATATAAATTGTATAACCTATACATAGATGACTTTTAATCTCACATTTAAATACTAATACTTGAACAAGTAGTAACCCTATTCTAAACGTCCCTTTCGAGTGCCAGTCACTGTAAATGCCCCTAAAGCGCTGTTTGCCTTTTTGGTTTTAAATCTTCCGTTTCTCTTTTCTAGAGCTATTCAAAGCCTTCTCCTAGGCAGTGAATGCAGCTACGCAGAGGTTTCATGAAAAATCCAGATTAGGCGTGAAAAAAGGGAAGAGATGTGGGGGCAAAGGAGGGGGGGGGAAGCTCTAATCTGCGCATTGACGTCACTCTTGGTCTGAAGCTGTGCAGATGGGAGTAAGGGAGGATTGTGTGGGCTATGCATTTTATGACAACAGATTATTTCCTTTTATGCATGCTGACTTCCTCCATGTGAGCCACATTTCTTCCCCTGGGGACAGTATTCCCACATCACAAAGACATACATCTCCAGTCGCAGGAGCAGGTTTTAGTGAAGTTCCACAGACAGAGTTGGTCTGTGATAGGACAAGTCTCTGTTCATCCTGCAATATCTGTCATTTATGATAACATTTATCAGCAAACCTTTGATCCACTGCAGACAGTATCTTGCAAATTCAGAGAAGTAATCTCCTGAGCATGTGACATGAATTATACAATGATAGAAACTGCTGTTGCATACGGATCATGCCCTGTATTAGAGATGATTGTGTTACTATTGGGCTTAGTATTGCGAGGGTGTTTCATATTTCAGGGTGATTAACTTAACTTTTTCCACATGCTCTTCAATTCTTAATTTTATATAAAGCATACATGATCTAATTTATTCTTGCCCAATAAAACTGTTAGAGGTAATTTAACACTGCGGTGAGTGTTAGTAACCCTTCTATCTTGTAACAGTACAAGTACAATGATCTCAGGAAAGCGAAATACAAATATTTTCAGGAAGCAACTGCGATGACTCCTCGCTGTTTTTTGCTGTGTTGCTGTTTGTGCCTGGAGGAATTAACCTTTGTATGAAAGTATATAGGCTAGGCCTAATGTGGGTGTGATTCTGTCGTTCTGATTGCAATCTCTTAAGGCATGCAAGCATACAGTTCCAATCTGTTTGCATTTAACTTAACTGGCCACAGTTATCTTTGGAGAGCACAGCGCTCATTTCACGAGGTTATCTGCTGTTCCTTTTGTTTCTTGAGACTGTTGGCCAGTATCTTAAACTTTGTTGAAGCACTAACTCTCCATCATATTTTTCTTAAAGATAATTTTTTAGCTGTGTAACTTTGGAGTTTCAATATGGAGCAACTGTTAGCATAACCATAATTTAGTACAAGGCTCACAATGTGTTGCGTTTTCAAAAAATGTGCATCAAATGTTACTGTCCATTTACCATTAAAGTGCGTATATATAGAGAACATCTGCTACATCACATTGTGAGGCATGTGAGTACATGGCGACAGGGTGTTGCAGAGATTTTCTAGGCAACAGCGCTCAAATTCAGACTTATTGAACACATCATTACGAGTACAATTATTCTGACTGGTGTTTTGGTGAACTATCCGTTTAGATCAGGGGTGCCCAACCAGTCGATCGCGAGATGTGTCTAAAAATAGAACAACAATATTCTGTTTTATCGTTAATGTCCTATACATAATCTTCCTGTGCCAGAATAATGCACTTGAACGCATCAAAGCTTTGTTATTGGCCGGCGTGACCCCATGTGTCAGGGCGTGGCGTGTCAACAGGAGTGACAGTCCCAATAGACTAGAGTCTGGATGCAAGGAGGCGGATCCTATAGGGGGCGTTTCCTAAAGGGTTATGAACCCCGCCCCCCACGTATTTCTTAAAGGTATATGACGCTCTCTGTTTTTAATGTTTTGAATGAATCAAACGAACTTTGAAAAATAATAATTATAATTAATTTGCATAAAGAATGAAGAGTATACAACCCACAGAGAAGACAAATTCATAAATTGTAGGCATATCATTTTTCACTGTTTGTGCAGTGGTAGTAATTATTATTCAAATCAATCAACTACGTTTTATGGAAGATATTGCTGTATATCATTTAACAACATGAGTAGAGGTTTCTGTACACCTAAAATACTGAAGTTGAAGTTACTGTCCTGATGTGTATCATTTATTTGTTCATGTTGTGTCTGGTGGTAAGATTAATAAAAAAATATATACAGTACATACAAAGAGGAAAGTCTTTATTAAACAAACATTTTATTGGCTGTTCTAATTATTATTAACCCCATCAGCCATTTTCATGGAAGGTGCCTCCAGCATCATAAAAACAGTCAATGCTGCAGAATCCAACAGAGGAATTTTTCCTGGGCAAACAGTGCAAAAGTTCTCAAGAGGTATGAGGCGCTTTGGCAGTGTCTCCATGTTCTGCGGTGAACATGCATCCGTTGACAGAACAGCTGGCAATTTCTTGTGGTCCAACAAGTAAAGAACAAGTGATGTCAAAGCGGCTCCCTCAGGTGGATAGAGAATGTCCTCAGTACTGTGGCCTTCAGGAACAGATTCAACAAAGGTCTCAAACACATCACTGTCTGTACTTCAGACCTTTAGGAAGAGTTCAGGTCGGGTCTGATTCAAGTGCCATTTTGCTATGGACTTATGAGCACAGGAATTATTTGGCTTTGAGCATGGACACTGCCAAGCATTTATTTTTACGTCATAACATACAGACACTCTCCCTAACCGCGAATATTATGAGGTGCATGTTTCAAGTACTGACACAAACTCTTGATGCGCCACTGCAAAATGTCACTACTTTACTCAGTGGGCTGTTTTCAGACTTAGCTTTCTCCTTTCTGACTAGACACATTCTTTTTGTGTTGTCAGAAATCCATTTCTTCCCAACCATATCTGACAGAACTTCCTCCTTCAGTGTGACGTCTGGTTTGGATGAAGTAGGACAGTATATCAGAGACCTAACATGAATACACTCAAACCCTAATAAGTTACTTCTTCTGGAAAATTCTGATGCCTGCTTGCAATTTTCAAGTTCACAAACAACTTGGTGGCTGTTTCCCCAGGTGAACTTCTGTACATGAATGGGGTTTCTCAGCCCAGAAAATGTTCTTCCAACAGCAAAAATGCCCTTTTTGAGGTCTAAGCATTGGGATGGAAGATGGTGATTAGAAGTAATATCAGGAACAGATGATGAGTGACGTCGATCCATGTGGGTCTTGAGGTTTTTCATATATAATTCAGTTTTACACAAAGGGCATGTTGTCCTTTTGGCCCTTGACTGGACTACTTTGCTGCGACTGATGGCTTGGAGTGGAGTGGAGGCTACAGATGCTGTGGCAATTTGGGAGGCTGCAGAGGTGACAGGGTAGGCTGAGGAGGAGACAGTGGCGGCTGGTGGGGAGACAGTGGATAGATTACATTATAGCAGTATAGTTGTATAATACATTTTTCCCATGTTTTGTTTAAGTTGTGTTTAGGGGGAATAAGGTTATGACCACTGCTTCTGGTGTGTTCATATGCATCACTTACTCTGGCGAAGCGATCCAACGCTGCAGGCTGCCACTGCGCACTTCTGAACATGATTCATAATAGTGGGCTGGGTTCTGAACTCCCCACAGTAGCAGCAGTGGAAATGTGGCGATTTGCAACACACCCCATTGCACCTGTACATTGTGAATCCTACAAAGAGAAATCCAGTTTACAAATGACTTAATTCTTAAGGGAATATAAAAATCTAAATTGTATTCAAATTCACATTAGAATAATATTAGTTAGTAATAGTTAATTGGTTAGACTAACTAAAATTAGTCAACTATTTGTACATTTTGGAAGATCTGCAACATTTATTTAGATTAAGAAATACCTCCATGTTTAACAGCCGTTCTCCTATGGGTCTGCAGATGTGCCGCAATATGGCCATAGTCCCCCACCTTGCTGCAGAATTTGCACTTGTATTTATTAGTGCCTTCACAAAGGCCATCCCCCTTGTAAACAGTTGGGTGAATCTGGAAGAAAATGAGGAATTGTTTACTATTCAAACTGTTTTTATTTGCACTTTCAACAGTAACCATTCATATCACATAAATGACAGGAACGTTTTTGAATGAGCTTTGATATTTATATTTTAATTGGATTGCTTATTAGTTTATGCAGCTCAAGGGGTCACATCATGTATATAATATAACTAGTGTTTTTGCTTATCGATATTAGGAAGTTTTTATTATGTTACATTCTTTAACCTATCTTTAATAGTGTTAGGTGAGCTATTAAGCATGTGTTAGATGACCAGTGACTCTTCTCTAATCATATTACTTTACCACATTTCTGATGATGCCATAACTAATGTTACATAATTATAGAAGACACATCCGAAGTGTTATTTTTACATATTGATTAGCAGCCGACATTTACTGAAAGGATGCGTCCGTCTCTCGTCTGGTTCATTACAACTAGTAGTTACAAACTGTTACAGTTACAACCTTAATCAGTACCGCACATCTTATTACTCAATTCAACCAACCAAGCTAGCCATGTTGTCTATCCGAATCCATACCATATTATTTGATTAAGTTACAGTATGTAGGGCAGGCCTACTTATATTTCCAAGATAATACAAGAGTACACTAGCATCATGCTAAGTGCTGGTTAGCATCACAGCATATACGCTAACCTTAGGTCAATTAGATGATCAGCTTTGGTAACACAAATCAGTATTGTTACCGAGCCTGATAATCTATTGACCTATCTAAGCTTAACGTTATTACAACAGTAGAGTAGGCCTGGTTGCAAACGGGACTATAGGCCAACGTGTTTATAGCATCATGCTAAATTAGCATTTAATACCACAAACATTTTGACCACATACAAATATTATTTACTTTATTAACGCTTAACGAGGTTGGACAGTCGATGTTGTACTTTGATAATGAGACAATTGTGTGTTAAGAAAAATGACATTACAATAAATATAAACATGCATCTCTGGAAAATACTATTACCGCTGTTTCAACTTGTTGTTCGGCCATCTTGAAAGAACGAATGACTTCTTCTGCGAGGATTTATAAAAGCAGCTGGAATCCCTTAAGTTGCATTACTGCCACCTACAGTATGTATTTGTGCTGAGTGTCATTATTCTATTGGATAAAAAAAGTTAGGAAACGCCCCCTATAGGATCCGCCCCTATAGGATCCGCCCCTATAGGATCCGCCTCCTTGCTGCGGTCTGCATCCAGACCCATCTCGACAGTCCGCACACACACAAGACCGCAATTATGGCAGAAGCAAAAAAGCCCAAAATATATAATTTTCCCTCCGAGTGGGAGGATGATTATTTTTGTATTTATTCCAATTCAAAGTCCATCTGTCTCATCTGCAATGCGAGCGTGGCTTTATCGAAGAAGGGTAATTTAGGAGCGGCATTTCAAAACAGTGCACAAACGCTACGAGACGGAATTCCCTCCTAATTCTGCCCTACGCTCCCAAAAGGGGAGGGGCCTGAAAGGACAGCTAAATGCACAGCAGTCCATTTTCACCAGGCCCAACAACAAGAGCAAGGCTGCTACCAGAGCATCTTATCGTGGCAGTCACGTTCTTGCGAAACACATGAAGTCTTTCAAAGACGGCGAAGTTGTGAAAGAAGCTTTCCTGGAGGCTGGCGACGCGCTTTTGGGGACAGTAAAAATAACAGTAGCATTTCAACAGGTTTTTGATATAATAAAAATAGAGTCTTTTCTTTTTTTCCTGTATCATATGTGGCAGCACTGTTCAATGTTTCTAGAAAACATTACACTGTAGTATGTGACGTGTGAATAAACTCCAACACTGTATCAACAACACTGTTGTGTAACTTCAGTAAAATACTTGTATGTGTGTAGATTAGAAAGAGGTAAGATAAAGGATCTGCAGTATTTTATGAAGTATTAATCGTACAAAGGTCAGTTTTATACAAGTAGAAGTGTGTATTTACCTGGTAGTAATGGCTACACCTCTCTATTTGGACTGGTAGATCTCGGCAGACTGGCAACTTTAAAAGTAGCTCTCGGTTCAAAAAAGGTTGGGCACCCCTGGTTTAGATGAATGTCTTGCCGTGCTGCTAAGATGCATTTGATCAGAACCTCAGAGCAAGTGCTTCTTGAGAGGGTAGATTTAGCATCTCCATTCATTTGTCATGGAATACGTTTTATTTTTTTAATTCTTAGATAAGAATCCTCTAATGGTCTATCTGACAGATGTCCGATTTCTGTAATTTTCGGAGAGTTGAGCAGACAGATACTTTGCTATCAACTGCTGTAATTATTTTAGAATTCATTGGACATGATTATTCTGGGTCATCAAACACATTCTATTCTGCCGAATACATTTATTTTACCTTAATAACAATAGTCACACTGTAAAGTTGCATGTTTAATGTTTTTTGATGGATTTAATCAGGCTCTTACACACAACTGCATGCTAAACTGGTAGCTTAACTTGCCATTAGCTGCTGTTGTTAACACCATAACATCTCCAATTATTCAATGAAGGTGTTCTATAATCTCGTATCCCTCTTGCCGATTGTCCTTAGACAGAGGGTGGTAATGCCCAACAGGCTCCCATGTGTTATTGGACCTCTCGCTAGGTTGAGATTCTATCCAGACTGTAATGAAAGTGATGAATATGAGCTGGGAATAGGGGAAAGGAATCTTTGGCTCTGACGCAGCAGAGCAAAGTCAGCCCTCGGCCATGGATCAAGTTTGTGCTGAAATACCCCCACTGGATTGTACTTAATCAAACTTGGAAGCAGCGTTGGGAAGCGATGGTAACGGGGAAAGGGAGTAGGCAGAAAAAGGCCTGGAGAGCTGTGCTTTTTTAAGGGTGTAATAAGTAGATCAGTAGATCTCTTTCAGAGCTTTCGTCATGAACTAAAAACTCGCTCTTGATTAATTAACACAACAACTGTTACAAACTGACCCGCACTTGATTAAGCCTATTTTAAAGATGCGTGTTGGCACCTTTAAGGACAAATGTGTGGAATTTTGGGAGACCTAATAGTAGAAAGGGAATAATGATAATCGTTTTCAGTAGTCTATAATTGAGTACAAATAAGAAACACAATGTGGGTTAACAACAAATGGATTCCGCCACTTTCTGAGATATTTTGCAGTTACAAAGTGCTGCTAAAGATTATTTATGAACCTCAGTAGTGAACAGTTTCTTCATGTTGGGAAAGAAAAGGACTCTTCTGTTTCCATAAATATTACACAACACACCATATGGAACTCTATGATATAGGCCTACTTCAGCTGTGCAGCTGTTTTGTATAGGGAGCACACATCTACATAATGGATTTGACAGATCTTCAATATTAAAGAATCTGGATTTGAAGCGCAGACATTCTTTGAACGTCTCTAAGAGATGGTTTTGGCACTTAAAATAAACAAGTGCTTGAGCAATGCTGATGTTTATTTATTTCTTGCCCTTAAGGGTAATGTTGTCTTGACATTGTTTCACTTTGTAGTTATCTTGTCAAGCCTTGAAAACATTTTTACCTTGCGTATTAAATATTCGTTATGCACCTGTTGGGCAAAAGCAACTGCAAAGTTGAATTGAATTGCTTTCCTGTCATTTCAGCAGTTTGATTTACGCACCCACTCAACTGCTCGGTTTCCTCATGTGGCTGCTTCTTCCAGGGGGAGTTGAATGTAAGAGAAAGCTCACATTAGTCCTCGTCACAGCTGACTGAACATTGGGCTACATTCTGCAGGATAGTGAGATTTCCATCATGTCATAGTAACACTCCGGGATAGAAGACGCCAGGATGCAGTCAGATTGTACATTCAATGGAGTGTATTATCAGTTTTGTTTGCCATTTTCATCTAATCTCCCTATTCCGTGCAAACCCAATGAATATTTATGCCAAGCCTTGATTTTGCACAAGGAGAAACATTCGATGCACATTGACTTCATTCAAATTCAGTGCAGTCTCTTTGATATCAGTTGTTGGACATCTGATGCCACGACAACAAAACAGATGTCATGTAATTAAAAGTAACCCAGTGATATATTTGTATTTCTTTATTTAGAAACATAGAGGGCACTGCTGTATGGGGACAGCTGGGCATGACTTACTGGCGGATTATTGCGGGACACACTCCGTCATTTGGTTTGAGGGAGTGAACAAAGGTCTTTGCTTCACATTCCTACGATAAAATTATAATTTGAGTGGATGGAACATGTCAAAATAAGTGCCATTAGCAGTTTTATAATATGTAAATGATCTCCTTCCGGCATGATGGATTCATTGAGATTAGGAGAAGACTATTTTCTTTGGAGAATTAAAGTGCAATGTGAATTAGACATCTGTCACGATGTATATGTGTGATCTCTTCCTCCCTCCCTCCTTCCCATCCCATTCACTCGTGGCAGGACACACACACTGGCTGCTATTCGTGTTTAGAGACATAATCTCAGCATAAAGAATCAAATGGAGCGTGTCAGTTGTCGGGCTTGAGTATCCATAATTCCTCATCTTTAACCATTCCATCTGCAGCAACACAGTAGTTAATATTATTTCCATTGTTTAAGCTCCACCCATGAGGAAAGACAGCTGACGAAAGGATTATGCTATATTAAGCCCGAAAAAAGATCAGGCTGAAACAACACATTTTTCCTTTCTTTGTTATCGTGCCCTCGCGGGTTGGTTTGTTAAAATAACTCTGGATAATGATACGCCCACTGGAGATTAACACAACACCTGCTCAGGTTACATTCAAGCACTATTCTAAATGTCACTGTTTACAATTCAAACTAAAGCTTTATATGACAAAAGCCTTTCAAGATCACAACCACTGTTCAGGCAAATCTCACTCTATCATGCACAGTTAAGGCAACCTGCTGCTTCCCCTGCCACGTCAGAACACATGCTATTAAAATATGACTTGAACATAGAAGAACAATACATCCTAACACATCACACACAAATAAACTGCATCACTTAATCTTATAATTAAAGGTATAGTTGACAGTAGCTATCCCATTCAACATAGAAAAGCCAGAATTGTTTCACCTCTCTATTGTTGACTTACTTTCTCAACCAACATAAGTCCCTTGGCTTGTTTCCTGCCCTACAAATATAAATGGAGCTGTATTATTATTATATATATTTTGATGTGATGTTTAACCCTTAATAGGGCAAGCAAGTATATGTAATTTGGAAATACTTGATTGCTATGTCTAGTAAATTAGTGCACTGATCTTACTACCATATTAGAATGACGTTACATACATTGACACAGTCTGTCAAATGATTGTACGCCACAGGATACATTTAAGGGTTAATTCTGGCAACAAATTAGGTTTTTTTTAGACCTAGAATACTGATGATAATAAGCACCATAACATGTAACATACTAGAATGTTGCAATTTCCATCGCTCCAGAAGTATGAGAAGATGTAAAGCACCATGCCTTTCTCTCATGTCCAGCAATTTTTGCTTTTACCTATTAGGAAGTGCAACAAAAAAAAGCATGCAATGAATGCAAAATATGTCAATGGACAGAGTGTCCATGTGCCCCTTCTTTACTGACTGAATCAATATTCTCACCTGTCTCTCAGTGTTTCATTGATGACGCTAAACAGAATGCAGGATTTTACTACAAGTGAGTCAAATGTACTCGGTGGCCCACAAGAAAAAAGTTCCAGAAAGAATGACTCTAGTAGTACCTGTCACACCCATGTGTCATGATGTAATTGGTATAGGTCCACCGATGCACTTCATAGATTGAAGAATGGTAGCTATAAATTGTTTCTACTTTTCCAGTACTTCAGTCGGAGATAATAGTTGGACAGTTGGTCAATAATACTCGCAAAGACATTCCACTAATGAGGCTTCATGCAGAGTGATCGGAATTGGCATTGTCCATACTGCAATTAGTGGATTCTGTAACAAAGCAAACATCAAGGATATTATTTGACACAAATTAATAAATGTTTGCCCAGTAAAATATCAAAATCAAGAAATTCCATTATTTATATGATTGTTGTTATACTATACTATAAACCTGTACCAGTGACCAGAA